ATTTTTTTGAGAAACTAATAATGCACATCGGGAATTCGCGGCGCATCGCCACACGGTACATCGCGCACGACGACGCGACACATTACGATTATCTTGCCCCTCCGCCCTTTACATTTATGTTTCGGAGTTCATAGCGAAGTTCTCTAAGGTTTTTCTTTGCACGAACTTGTACGAAACACTCATGGGCCGCCTGGATGATTAGGTAAACGGATTTCGCATTGGTACTGTTACTGGAGACTACGCAACACCATCAAGCGAAACTAAGACAAAACTATCGTGAACGGGTCCCTGCACTTGGAGGATCTGAAATAATCCTGTGCAGAAATGGGACCGTCATTTGGATAGAATTCCCTACCTCAGTTTCCCCCTACTTCCCTCCACCCCTCCTCTTCCTGAGAACTATGCAAAAACCCGCAGTGCCATCACGGCGATTTCCACTTTGCACAGTGGGTTTTTTAATGACCCGTGAGGTTATCAGCACCGGTATTCTCTCAAGCATTTTAAATACTTCCAAAAGACAATAAACTATATAGTCTTGTCATCTGAAGCGGGCCATGGGGGCTAAATTCCGCGCGGAGCCACACGGACGTTGTAAAGGGGGAGGGGGTCGCACTTGTTCATTGTTGGGAGGGGGGGGTCGTACAGACTCGACTAAAATCCCCAACCAATGATATGCCCTGAAACCCAGCCTTCTTAACGTGCCCGGTATCCACGGCGAATAATACAGTAAATACAATTTGAAACTCAAGGGCGGGGGGTTGGGTCCTCAAATGCGTTCTGTACAACGTTCGAGGCACTGAATTACAAAATCTCATATGATTTCTCTGCTCAGGTCTGACATGTCTTAATCATCGACAACGCTTTGACTCACCCTTACATCCAAAATGGACTGGTTGATCAAAAGTGGCGAATGAGTCAGTTCTGAAAGTTCCTGTTTAGGTCGAATGGTTTCCAACCACGCTTACGGGAAATTCATGTTTAGTAATCCAGAAAAGTCAATAAAAAATCTGTGAGGGAGAACAGCAGTCTTTTAGGAGGTGCTACCCGGGACCCAGGGTACACATCGTGATGTGTGAAATGGTGGTGCAGGTACGACCCCCCTTCACCGACACCTACCTTTTTTCCATAATTTCCCGAAGCACAAGACTTTCCCTACTTTTACCTAAAAGTTCTGCTGTCGAGGGGGCTGTACATGAAACAGGAAAAAAACACGAAAAATGAACAACCGTGAAAATCCAACAGCCACCATATACGACCCCCTCTCCAGCCGAAAAGCACGACCCCCCCATGCGCTTCACACAACGATGCTGTACCCTGTCGGGAAATCCACGTTGCGTTTAGTTGCTTATTTTCTGAGTAGTCATACCTAGATCTTAGACAGATCCTGGTTCGCACGCCGCGCATGTGACGCCACTTGCAAACCGCGCACAGCCCCGTGGATTTCCGATCCGCACACCTCTCACAAGTGCTGGCCTAGCGGCACCCGAGAATTTGGTGAGAATTGGTGTTTTTGAGTGTTTCGGCTTCTTTTCGATTTATAATTATAAAAGTTATCAGCCTATTGTGTATATGATTGTTTGAAAAAAACTCACCTTGATGGAATTGTACACGTCAATCATCTTTCGAAGTTTGTTGCCAAAATCTGGGTGTACCTGCAAGTACATTTCACTTAGCAGGTGCTAAGAAATACAAACTTCAGGTTGAGTCTTGATAGGCAGTACTAAAAGGGGGGAAAGGTCCCAGCATAAAAGAAAAGGTTGGCCATGCAGAGGGTGGGGAGGGTAAGTGGAAGAGGGGATGGGTGACATGACAGTGCAATACTCGGCGAACGGTCCAACGTTGGGACTTGAAGACACATTCGAACAATCTGGCTGCTGGGTAGATTTTCTTCTGCCTGTACGATGTGTAGGCCCACAGCACGGTAAGAACGAGTGGGAAGGGGAGGGAGGAGTTGCGACTTAAGCCCAACCGCCATGGTCAGTCTAGCTCCACACACAATTTGTGGATATCCACTTTTGTTGCTTATGTGACTGTGTGCTATCTCGTCCGCCCGAGCTTGCCTGGTTTCGCCTGAACTGCCAAGCGTCCCTGCGTCTCCACTTACTGCATGCTCACCCAAAGCTAGAGAAATCGACCGAACCTCATTTGGATTGTTTTTGGCTGGATATTCCCCACTACTCATAACCTCGTGGAATGTCTATCTACGCGTTGTTTTTGTTGTACTGATAGATAAGGAAACTCATACATTTCCGAAGTTCTGAATCACACGCTCCTGTATGTACGGTTTGCAGTTTTTCATCATCCCGAAAGCGTTCTCTACAAGCCGATCTCGTGCTCCTTCGTCCAGCACCTGACAAAACGATGAGGATATCAGGGCGTGTCTTTTGTAATATGGACTACTTTACCTTTTCCCAGAACTGCCGTGGCTGCTCAAAATTATCTTCGTCGATGGACTCGAAACGATTTACGTCTCCTGATACTCTCCATACGCTTTCCATCCTTTTGCCAGATTCCTTCAAACCCTTGAAGCTATTCGGGAAGTAATTTGGAGCGTTCCCTGAAATGAAAGTTGATCGATGTTATGGGTGAAGTCATTCAATAAAAGCGTTAAACATTATGAAAGGGAGGTTGTAGTCAGCGTACTCGAAGAATCCAAGCGATAAAGTAAAATTGGGTGACAGATCCCTCTCCTTCCTCCTCCCCCCAACCACCCCTCTCTCCACTTTCTCCATCTGAAAGTCGGAAAGTAGAGGTCTGGGGGCACATCATGAGGACATGGAATTTTCGAAAACTTCTGTCTTCTCCCAATATTCTATGCGGCTCCCTGCCTCCTTTGGGGGGGGGGAGGAAGAAGGGGTCAGGACACAGAAAATTCCCCTCCGTGACGACATCCGTTCCTCTCTACATATCCCCTGCCTCGAATTCACGTCCAGTAAGGTGAGCATCCCCCAGTACACCAAAAAATGGCAGCTCCGTGAACACAGCGAGGTAAACGGAAAAGTTGGTCCCGCCTGGGTCCTGACCTTCGCCCATAACTCAGCACTTTTGTGATAACTGTCGAAGCGCGAATTGCGGCATTGAGTAGCAGTTATCATAATAAAACCTCTTCTAAAATAATAAATAAATCTTCATTATTTCCGAAAGCTTCCAGACCACCCCTATGAAGGCCGACCTCTCTCAGCAAACCAAATGTGAACCTCTTCTCAACCAAACACGACAGTTGACCCGGGACACCCATAAGGTGCCTTGAAGAAAAGGCTTCCGATCGGAAGCGCTAAAAGGAGAAAAGCTCTAACGTATAGTACATTTCGAGAGTACATTTCTGCCGAATTAGAGCACTAAACTCACCTTGACTATCGTAGCAAGCAGCACCGTCCCTCAGGGTGTTGTAGGGCCGGACCCTGTAGGGACAGTTGATGGGCAAGTGGTATAGTTCGCACCCAAACGATAGGAAGAGAGTATCTTTGTAGGAGAAAATTCGACCTTGGAGCATCTTGTCTGGGGAGAATTCGACTCCAGGAACCACATGGGCAGGACAGAAGGCAGCTTGCTCTACCTGCAAGTAATAGTTGAAGAGGTTCTGCTCACAATAGGTAAAGTGAAGAGAGACGACTCATGCGGTCGCTCTCTTCACTAGTTATGGAACTTCGCGGATAGGTTTACAACTGTTTCTGTATACAAAAGCAGCTTTGAAAAATATGGATAATAAAGCAAATTTACCTCAGCGAAATAATTTCTCGGGTTTCTGTTGAGTGTCATTCTGCCCACAGGGATCAGTGGGAATTCGCCATGTGGCCAAACTTTAGTGACGTCGAATGGATTCATCGGCCAGTTCTCTGCTTGCTCGAATGTCATCACCTGAACTTCATCTTCTTGGGAGATTCCAAGCTTTGGAAAAGAGCAACAAACCTGAATGTGGAGATCCCACTGAGGAAAATCTCCCTTCTTCGATTGCGTTGTACAGATCGCGAATAGCGTAATCGGGATCCTTCGCCAGCAAGACGAGCAGCATCGGCAGCAGAGAGATTTCTAATCTGGATTTCTTGCCTGAAACGAAAGCTCTTGTTTTTCTCTCCAATCAAGGCGTATGATGTCGAGCAGTTCTGTTGAAAGTATGATCCGCGCTGGTCGAGTGGGCTGTGAGATACCTACTTGTTCTTGGAAGAAAGAGAAGTGCTGCTGACAATGAGGGACGCATTATGGCTTCTTATCTCTGGCCACATGTCTCGATAGCTGCGCTTGCAATACCAGAGACCTGACTAGGGCCATTGCACGTTTGAAACTCGTTTGGAAAAAAAGTGGACCTTTCGTCTCTTTGACGCGGTTGATAAAGGAAGTACAGTGAAGGTACCTCTGGTTCATGGGCGGTTCACGGGGCCGATTCTCGTCTTGTCAAGCCGTTCTCTCTGGAACCGGTTAGTTTGACAATAAAAAATGAGAATTTTTTTCTGCATACTTAGGTTAACCTTTGAGAGCCACCTTGGGATACAATGCAGTGGAATCCTTTCATGAGTCAGTTAGAGGCATAAGGCACGATAATTTGATACTTGCCAAAAAATAGTAGTAGGGGTGCTATGGAGTGAGAAAATAGCGCAAAGGTGAAGTGAAGCGGCCAAAAAGCTGAGAAAAACCTCTTTCTGCGCGGCTTCCACAGAGCATTTTCGGATGAGTTTTCCGTTGGCATCGTGCCAACAGTAGATTTGATAGATATGTCTGCACGTAGGTATTCATGTGTCCATCTAGCAACTCTTCATATCAATTGTACTTCGAAAAAGAAGCGACAATAGAAGCCGCATTGATGCGGCTGTGCGCCCATTTGTGAGGCGGGCAGTTGCGATGGGCGTCTGGGTCGGCATGTTGCGTCCTTGTTAGGCGCTGTAACGGTGCCCTTGGTTGGAAAGGCGCTATGCAGCGCCTTCTAGGATACACTGGCGAAGAGTATCGACCTTGTACGCCTTGTCGATTTATCGTCCACTTGCCTCTGAGTAAAGGAATGCACGGCACACCCGTGAAACGCCTGCTCTGAACGGGAAGAGAGTGTGTAAAACGAACCCTGAAGTGGAATTTACAATAAACCGGATTTCCTTCCGCATTGACGAGCTTTGAAGGTATTGGAGCCATAGCCGTGCATAAAGCGGAAACCATCGGGAGTTCCTCGATCTGACATCAAGAACATCACCTAAATGGATGTAATGAACTTTCGCAGAAAGCGTCAGAAACCTTCCATACACACCTGATGTGTAGATTCAGGTCGAAGACTCCAAAAGTCCCACAACGCGTCCATATCTCTGAGATGAGTCTGTGGATTTCTCTTCAAGACATGGATAAATTCCGGGAATTGGAGTGGATCACGAACAAAGAAAATTGGTGTATTGTTGCCGACCTGGAAGCATAACGATGGACTGAGATCAGATCTGATAATGTACTTCCGTCCATACTCCGACGGCGGAAAGGACGCGGCTGCATACTTCATTCAAGTACGGCGTGGGGTGATTTTTTTCGCGCAATGCTTCCTTATTCTAAAAGCGGAAATGTCCGACCAGACGCTTCCGATCTGTAGTGAAGTACGTTGCCACGCCCTCTCCATCTTCGGGATATGGGGTCTGGGCGGTCATTCCGGTACCTGTTGAGAGACAGATGACGTGCTAGTGAAGTCGCACAAGACGTCAGTAACGTGTCTTAAGATGTACGTCACTGACGACGACAGTGCAGATTTTTTGATCACTACCGAGTCAGGTGACATGTGAGATGCTTTCATACTTTGCATCAGTGCCCACCAGCGTCCATTAGCGTTCCGAGCGTCAGGCAGCGTGAAATTGGGTAAGTATAGGTATCGATCTAGCGTCTTCCAGCGTCCGGGAGAGGAGAGTATGGCGCGATAGGAGGGTAGCAGACAGCTGGTAGAGTATGGGGAGATAGGAGGGTGGCAGACTGCTGGTAGAGAGTATGGCGCGATAGGAGGGTACCAGCTGTCTGCTACCCTCCTATCGCGCCATGCTCTTCTCTCCCGGACGTTGGTAGACGCTGGTGCACGCTGGTGGACGCCGACAAACGCTGGGAGACGCTGGTAGACGCTGGTGGAGGCTGCCGCAAAGTATGAAAGCAGCCTTATCGTCTAAATTCCAACAGGTAACGGACTATACTACGTCAGATTTCGTCATGTAAGTATGTATTACCAGATCCCAGTTTCCTTCCTCAGTGTAGAATTTCACAGCAAAACCACGTGGGTCGCGAACCGTATCTGCTGATCCCGACTCTCCGGCTGCAAGAAAAATGTGTGCATAGTTGATAACGTTGCAATCATCGCAATCAGTTAGAGCGGTGTCCACCCTGTAGTAGAAACATCACAGGTGTACTTACTGCACTTCTCCTGAAACCGCCCTGACTGGTTGCGAGGATATCAGCTGTAACAATGTAAGCATGATAAGTGGGGATGCCAATTCTTAGCGAGACTCATTCATCCCTGCCCTGCATTGTAAGCTGAATTTGAAACAAATGGGAATTTTTTTCCAGAATCATTTTTAGAGAGAAAAAATGAGTAGTTTGCTCAATTTCCTTGAGCTAGCTCCCCTACAGTTTGCCGGACCTTTCGAAATCCCTGTTTTCTTGTTAGTATGGCTTCTACATTGGAAGAGCAAACTTTTTGAGAGTGTGCTATACCCTGGACTGTGGTTTGTGTTGGCACTCCCTGATGTAGGCCAGTAAGTGACATAATAAGGACTCCGTCCGATTCATTTTGAAAACTCACCGACTGTTGAAAAACGAACGAAACATGGTGTTTTCTTGCCGATCTCGCTGAACATGGCTGCCTTGCAATACTTTGTGATATCGTGTGTCACTTCAAACACTCCATGAGCCCCTAAAATGAAACAGTTTGGAAATGAACAAAGGAGATTCCAATCTAAGGGTTTCAGTGAAGATGGTTTGGTAAGGCCTCGATCACGCGCGTTATAGCTCTCCAAGTCATGCGGTCCCTTCTTTCCCCTTTTCCTCATGACCTCCTTTAGAATAGGTGGATAAGAAATGCTCGCAACATGCTTGGCAAGACTCCTCGCCACGTTCGGTACGTGTCGCCTTCAAGTTTTCCCATTGGAACTCGAAACCCTGGAGGATAAAGTGATTTATTCGTGAGGTATCTCCATGATATAATCAGTATTAGATCGTCTCAGGCTTAGTTCAGGACATACGAAGTGAGGCATCGCGCACGAGCCGGCATGGCTAGCTGGTTGGCCCGATGTAGCACTTTGGCATCACAGACACTTCCCGCGATTAAGTGATCAGCGAAATGTCTCCGTGCATTTGGCATCGTTGTCCGCACTCGCAGAGAATATACCACTTTCGTCACTCGAAATGGCGAGATAACGAAGCTAGAGACGCGTGGCTTTTGCAACAAGTGCAGACATCCTCTCACAAGCAGAACTGGAACATAGCGTTGCTTGGGGCGACGTAGGGTGATTTCATATGCTTTGCCGGGAGTTGGTTGCACCTAGAATGCTGGTGATTGGGCCTGTCCTCGTAATGAACTCGTTCCAAAGCGCCGGCCCCACTGCTAGGGAGGGGTCTGTGCTCAGGGTGTTCCCAAATTTTTTTCGCTTCTTTCTCTACTGATGAGTTTTTGATGGGCTACTGGTTCATGACTGAGCACCTGCTAATGTTACACTTGATCGCGGAAATTGGCTGATAACCTACGGCCTCCACCATTGGATTCACGGCCTTGTCTAGAGAAAATTGACAATAGATGAATTGCCTTTTCCTTTGATTTCGTCGGCAATATACCATATGGCTAAGAAGACGGTACTGGTCCTCGAATGTCGTGTACTACACCCAGTTCCTGATCGTGGGTAATCTACTGGTCGCGAGCGTTGAGCACTCGCGAGCCGACACTGGCCAGACCGATAAACAAACCAGTGTTTTTGACCTCCCAGACGAATCTGCTACCAATTTACCGTTCCCGAAAGTCAGAGAAAACTTGGTTGTTCTGAGCTAGAGCCGATACGAGACTTGAAGCTCAGACCGCGCGTGGTAATCGTGCCCTCTGCAGCTACACCACCTTCAGCTGCCCTGCTATTATAAAGTTACTATCGCTGGGATCATCCAGAAAAAAAATTGCAGTGCTTACCGCCTCCTTTGGCATGAACTACTCTCTCCGGAATTCGTTCGCGATCAAAATGACCCATTTCGTCCAGGTAGACAACATCTTGCATGAGCATTGGGCCTCTAAAAATGAATCTGATTGCAGTACAGTATACTCATTTCTAGGGAGTCCTCTGAGTTCCACGTCTTTGCCGTACTTGATTGAATGAAAAAAAAGTTCTGAGAGAGATTCATTTCAAGAATTTTCTGGAGGAACTCTAAAGTTTTCATGAACATAATGCGTCTCAGTCGTAGCGACCCTATTACCTTGGTCCAACAGTGAGCGCATTAGTTTTGTTGTAAACCGGAGCACCATGAGACATTGTTAACACCCTCCGTTCCTGAAAAAAGATTCATATTCAACGATCTTTCCTTTGATATTAAATCTCCTACACTCACCGGCTGGGTATTCTTGAAGTCTTCTAGCTGATTGTCACTAGGCTCTGGAGGCTTCGGCAAGGCGGTTTCCATCTGGTTTCTTACACGACTTTCTACACCGTCATTAAGCTCTGGAGACTTCGGCATGGCGCTTTTCGACTGGTTTTCTTCGTGACTTTCTGCAACGAATGAGACACAACTACCTGATGGCGGTAACAACCTATACGTGTGGTATGTTTGAGCCCAAGTGACGAACATGGAAGAATAGGATAAGCAAAGGCAAAAAAATTTCTGTTTCTTACTTAGAACCCTTGAATGAGTTATGGGAATATGACGTCTGGGGACCACACAACTCTCAAGAAGGGCACGCCGTAAGCTGGGGATTCTCGACGTGTCTGGAACGCGACGTGTCTGGCTCACCTCTTTGAAAGCTTAGCAACAGCGGCTGGTCCCTGATCGTCGACCTTGCGTGTGGCGAGTTTGATGGCGCGTTGAATGACGCTGACCGATGTTCACCCTGCTTTCGTGGAATATAAGCCTCCGAGTGTAAGTTGAGCAGGAGGGACTGCAGAATCGAGGAAGTTGGCACGGAGCTTATAACTTTCGTCTTCCTTGTTACTTTCACGTGCCAGAGCAGTGCTGTAGATTCTCAACGACAGGATGCCAGAACACGAATCGACCTAATTCCGTGATCAACAAGATGGTTCTTTAAAGTTCTGAGGACCTAGTTAGTAGCCGCTGCGGTACAACAATTTCAGCGAGATCTATGCTGACGTTCGGTTCCCCAGCGATCGGGACTCGGAATCCCTTTGGTACCTGCATGTATCTGGTGTTTCCAGATAACCCTCCATTCCAGCGTGTTGGATAACGTTAACAGCACACTTGCATGCAAACGAGCTATTACTGTGGGGCAATCTTTATAATTGCTATTTATTCAAGGACTTTTTGTGAAGGAAATATTCGATAATTCATTTAACTAAAGCAACGCCATGCCATTATGTGTTGATCAGAGCCGTATGACTGCTTACTAGTCCAGTGAAAACAACTGGAGAATTGGCAAGGCCAGTGAGTAAACAAGCCTATAGTGTGATCGCCTACGGGCAGCGGTGTAATTAGAGGCAGTTGGCACGATAAATCCCCAAAGACGAGTAGGATTAATACGCCTGGCAAGACGGACTTCCGCGCCCCTGGTAAGGCGCAGCGGTCTTCCCAAAAAAGGGACACCTATAAGGACCATATCATGCTACAACATACCGAACCGAACGCCCTCCACGCCCCTGCCCACAAATGGACGACCGTTGCTGAAGCCATATTGATCTGTATCTAAGCAAATTATGAACGAAGGGATTGGTATAAAGCGGCCGCGGAGCTGCATGGATACACGAGTAAGTACGTGCAGCCCTACCTGCTGTAGCGGTTGTTGGCACGATGTCAACGAAACTCGTCCGAAATTGATTTTCAAGTCACTAAGAAGAACGAAGGCTTCTTCTTCGCAGGATTTTGACCGTTTCACTCCGTTCTTTCCCACTATATAGCGCCCTGCTAGCATTTCAGGCCGAGTACCAAATTATCGTGCCAACTGCCTTTAATGTTGGCGTTACTGTCTATTTCGGTTTATTGCTTCTTTTGTGATCATACCGGGCTACATGAAGACCCTCAAAGGCATGTGGCGCGATAATTTGGTACTCGGTCTGAAATGCTAGCACGCGGCTGGTTAGTAAATGGCGAAAAAAACAAAATGAAACCGTCAAAAGCTTGCAAAAAAGCTCTCTTCTAATGACCCAAAAAGCAATTTCGGCCGAGTTTCCCGTAGCCATCTTGCCGTAAACGCTACTGCAGATACGACATATATGTACTTACATATAAATGCAGCACCGCAACCGCTGGTGTCCGGGTCGTATGTTGCAGCTTGATAGGGCCTTATAAGGGTAGCTTCTCTGGAAAAGGAGCGAAGTAAGATATGAAGCGCCTGCTAAGGGGCGCGGAAAACCGTTCTGCCAGACGTATTTATCCTACTCGTCTTAGAGACTAATCGTGACAACTGCCTTTGAAGTACCTCAGCTGTTTCGAATCTTTACTTACTACTGAAACTAAAAACGTAGACTTTGAATTCAATGCCGGTTTATCTGGACAAAGATGTGACTGGGTGACGAACCGACGAAAAGGACGAGGACAGTTTTAGAGAATTTTCGTCTGGCTCCGCCCACCTCGGGCTGGCCCCCCACAATATGTATACCCACATTTCTCAATCGGCGACCCTCTGCTGACCTTAATCCACTTTTTTCCCGTGTCTGGAGTGCTCTGAAACTATTTTACAGATTTTTCGTCTGACTCCGCCCAAACGGGCAGGCCCCGCCCACAGTGTTTGTGCCCAGTCCTCACCGGCGACCCTTTG